CGCTCCCCCACGCAGCGAGGCAGATGGTATTGCTGGTCGGCGCACTTGGGTCCAAAGGCAGGAAGTGCGTGGACCAGGGAAGGGGGGGCAGCGGGGCTGCTACACGGTTGAAAGAGAAGGTAAGGCAGCTGAAGGCCGCACGTAGTGTGTAGTGAGGTTATCACTCGGGCTGTGGAGGTGCTGGATGTATGGGAAGTGAGCTCAGTCTCTCCATCGGTGTCTCTTTTCGTCTCGCTCGTCGGGTCTGCCTCCACCCCGCTTGCCACCCGTCTGCCAGCGATCGTCGTGCCAGCCTTCACTCCAGTCGCTCTGCCAATTACCCCAGGTGTCCCAGGAGCTTGTCCCACGGTCTCGCCAGCTGCTCTGCTGGAGGTTGCCTTTTGCCCCTGCCGTCGGGTCGGGTGTGTCGCAGGTAGTCGGCCCGCAGTTTGTCCCAGTCAATGCGAAAGCTATACCTCGTGTCCATCAGGTAGGCGTTGTACCCGCAGCCCTTCCAGTCGTCGAGAAACTTGTTGATGGTCGCTTCCGTGTGCAGTCTCGGGTCTGATTTGGGCTCCCTGGATCCAGGGAGCCAAATGCGCTGCGTGTAAGCGGTCCACAGCGCGCAGAAAACTGCACCCAACTCCGACTGGTACCTGGCGAGGCGTTTGGCGGGTGGCTCGTCGCGACGCTCCAAGTCCACAGCGCCCAGCCAGACCTTGTACATGGGGCCCCCGTGTGAGTCGGTCAACAGGTTGAGCGTATGGCGCTCCGTCGAACGAGGGTAGGTAGGTCTATGTCCAGGGACCTGTGGGTTACGCAGTGGGGGCCGATGGGTCCGCACGTCGCCCCTGTCGCGGGCGCTCTCATCGTCCTCAGATCCCCTGGCTGCACTGGTGTTTTGGTCGGTGTTAGCCGGGCCATCCCCGGCAGCAGTAGGGTCACGTTCGGAGCTGGGTTCAGAGCTGTCTGCCGTTGGGCTCCGCTGAGGCGCCTTGTCGCCTGGGCCGTTGTCGTCGACCTCCGTGGCAGAGTCCGAGCAGGATACAGGAGAAGGGGGCTCGCCTTCTCCGTAGTCGGGTGACTCCACCTTCTCCGTAGGGGGGATCACGTCTTCACCGCTCTCGTCCTTGACAGTGTGGTCGGGCGGGCCCGGGAGGCCCAGACGCGAGTCGTCGTCTCTCGTACCCAGGGACTTGTCTGTGTCGGCCGCCGTAGGGGTGGCAGGCCTGTCCTCACTCATGGTCTGCACGCGTGACTCGGCCAAGGAAGTGATGGACGTGGAGGCGAGGGCATCGGCACTGAGGCTGAGTAGGAAACTCGTCAGCGTGCCCATTTCGTGTCTGATGGGACTAAGGCCACTTGCCGGGGCCAGGATCGCGGCGTACCTCACCCAGGACTCCCTATGCTTCTCGCCGTTGGTGAGGTGGGCGACGACTCGCGCCGCGGCCAGCCGCTTACCCTCCCAGCGCTGGTTGGGCGGGACGCAATTCTCAGGGATGCATTGGCCGTACACCGTCCTGAGGAAATCAGTCAGACGTCCGTCCGGCCAGGAGGTCTCATCACACCTAGGCTCTGGGATGCTGCTGTCGCGGTTGGTGAGACAGAACTGTCTCCAGGTGTAGTCCAGCCCAGGGTGGAAGTCACGGAGGTAGGTCACCAGCAGTCGCTGTGCGGACAGTCCTCCACTGCCTGGTCCGCTCCTGGGGTCGTTTGGGCTCAGCGTGGGGTTGTTGACGTCCCTGTTGTCCAGGAGCGGGCCCTGCGGTACTGGCAGATCTGGCAGGAGCTCCATGAGCTGTGCTAGGGACCTAGGAGTTCGCTCTGCCGCGGAGGCCGCACCGCCGATGGGGTTACGCGGAGCGTGTAAAATTACGAGAAAGCGGGGGAAGCTAGGTGCGATCGCGCCATATCTGACATCCTACTCCTCACACCCATCCTTGCACAACGCGTGTCATAGCGGACCTGGAACTTCCAGAAAGACCTCATCGTGTGGCTGGGCAAGAGGATGAGGATAGGACATTCCCGAGGGGGCAAGTCTGAGACCGATGCGGTCTGGCACCCCTTACAAAGGACATGTGTCACGGGGATGAGGAACCCGCGAGGGGAAGGATGAGAAGGGCAAGGACGAACAGCAGCAGCGGGAACTGGAATGGAAGGAGCGGGAGGAGCAGGAGGACCAGGGGAACACGGAGGAGGGGAAAGGGGTGGGGCGATGATAATGAGGAGGGGCTCGGATCCAGAAATGCCCCGAACGAAGGGAGCATATCGCCGAATTGAAAATGCCACGCTGCAGCGGGAACACCATTTGAAAATCCGAAAACAATCGAATGGCAAAAAACAGCATCAGATGCTGGCCGGCGTGAACCCCAAGCAGTGTGTCTAGCTAGGGAGCTTGTGCAACACATGTGGAGTAACCAACGCACCTGCAATGTACATGTGGCGCCGCCGATGCTGTGAAAGATGCGTGTTGCAAAATTTGTGGTGCAAGTTACGTGGTGCAGCGTACACTGCGCAATGTGTGGGACAACACTTGTGGTGCAATGTACGTGGCCCAAAATACGAGAAGCTATACATGTGGCACAACTGCGATGCGTTATCAACTCCAGAGCTGGCGCAACCATCCTTCACACCCGCCCGCAACTCCGTTTGCAAAACCCATGCGGCGGCGATTGCGATGAGTGTTTGGCGTTGGCTGGTGCATCTCTGCGGCCGCGCTTGCCCGCGCATGCTCGCGCGCGCAGCGGCCAGCTACTTTGGCGCGACCGACGCGGCCGCAGTGGCGCTGACCGCTGGGCATTTCCCAACGGGGTCTCCAATGCGAATCGGCGACTTGGGCGGGCGCATAATCATTGCAACGTCATCAACGGTAGACACGATGACGGTAGGAGCGATGCTGATGACGATGATGGACAACGACGACGGCATGACCACTGACGACGCCGATGCTGATGACGCCGACGACGATGACGGCGTCCTCGCGTCCGTGATAAAAGGTGCTGGAAGACGTTCGACATGCGCGCGCGGCCGACGCGCGACTGTGATCCGCATGGTATTATTTGATACGGGTCGTGCCCCCGCGTAAGGGCGTGCGAATGATTTCGACATGCGGCGCGGGAGGGCCGTTCGGCAGAATCGAATGAACATGTTGAAAAAAAGTTGTCCCCCCTAACATTCGCAGAAGAGTGCGAGCGCAGGCTCTTTTGTGAAGCCGGATGTTGCAAAACGTTGTTGTTATATGATTTCGGGGCACTCAGTTTTGGAATGCTCACAAAACCTAAGGTAGGCTTGAAATCTCGGCATGCGCGCGCGACGACGCGCGCGTGCGCACTCCGTCCCATTTCGTCCAAGGGATTTTTGCGACAGCGCGCGCGCAAGAGCGTTCGAACGATTTCGGCATGCGCGCGAAAGAAGCCCGTTTGGTAGCATGTAATGAAACTGCGCAGAAAAGAAACAATGTTTTTTAGAATATGACAGAGCGCGAGCGCAAGCATTTGTTGTATACATTCTGGTCGCGGAACCATGTATGTTTCATATTTTTCGGGGCACTCGACTTTGAAACGCTTACGAAACCTATGGTTTTCGACGGATTTCGGCATGCGCGCGCTACGACGCGCGCGTGCGCACTTCGTCCCAATTTGGTGCGAGGGACTCGCAGAAACTGATGATTGTTGATCAACGAATGCGCGCGCATCACATTTTCTGCAGAGGATGAAGGGGGGACCGTTACCGGCTTGGCTGGGATGAAATGAATTCATATTTATGATGGACGATGAGGCAGTATCACATGTTAAATGTAATACGAAAAGGGGACCCGTTAAGTCAGGCGGGGGAGGGGTAGATCCGAATGTTCTTTTAGAACAGAGAATACATGTGGTACAACCCATGTGGCGGCGACGAGGCGGTGACAGGGCGGCGACGGCAGCATAATAGCCGCCAGACCGCCACACAGGCCCAGACGACGGGCGGCGAAGAGGCGGCGACGTTGCGGCGACGGCGGCAACATAGCCGCGTGACCGCCACCAAGGCCCAATTCCTCAGACCACAAGTTAGAACCCCTACGTGCAAACACTGTTCCTAGCACAAGGCACCCTTTGCCCAATCCTTTTGTAACAAACAATACGTGAGGAGGGCGGGACATCTTCCGGACAGAATCAGGGGAGAGACACCCCACGTCTCGCAACCAATGGCTACGCGGGCTGGCCCTGTCAGCAGTCAGTAGCCGTTTGCGGAGCATGGGGACGGAGACGATAGCGAGAGCGACAAGACCTCGGAATTTTGATCTTCACCTGCCGTGCACGCGCGCTGCACGGCACGCGCTGCACGGCACGGAATGCGAGCGTGAGCACCGCACGCTTCTTCCTGGCCCAGAAGAAAACCTAGAGTCCGAAACGCATCGCCAAAATGTGGCCGATATCGGGACATCCCCAAGTAAGAAAGAGGGGATGTGAAAGACCTGGGAGGCGCTAAAAATGCTCGCTGTGCTCGGAATACAGAAACCCTGCACACACATTGGCACATGGCAGAGCATCTCTTGGGGGAAAAAGCATCTCTGAATTCCGCCCGCTCCCTCCGATTTTCCGCTGGGCTCCGCCGGCAGAGCTGTCCCCATTTTACGTTCGCCGGTTTCCGCTGCCGTTCCGCCGCCTTCCGCCAAGGAAGAGAAGGCAACCATCCCTCGAGGGCCCCCCCCATGAGCCTATCCCCCGCCTGGCGTTGCACCTGAGCTCTGCGGGCTCCACCAACAGGCGGGACACACGCCTGCCGATGGCGCCGACCATTGGACAGAAGCGATACCAAAGAGAAGCCGAAAGCTTGCCGCGAGCGCCCGCATCTCGACGCGAGGCGTCGTTGTCCAGCCCACAACCAGCGACCCCTCTGAGCCCCGCGGCGACCCCCGAGCAGCCCAGCCCCCCCCCCCCCCCCCCCCCCACCCACAGGCGTGCGCTCCTCCTGGGCAGGTGCCCGTGCTCGCTGGCTGACTCGCGGCACACATATTCGCATTTCACCGCCCTCCTGGCCTGCGGCCGGTCAACCTTGTTGATGACCACGATGGGCTTCATGCCAGGTCGCTGCAGCGCCTTCTGGAGCACGAACTTCGTCTGCGTCTTGGGCCCCTCGACCATGTCGACCAGCAAGACGACCCCTCCACTGCGTAGCACCAAAGGCCGGCTCTCCCTACAACCTCAACCACATGCCCGCCAACCCGCTCGCCCACCATCCAACAAGTTTGGTCCGCCTCCGAGGTGCCCACTTCGTGCAAGAGAAAACCCTTTACCACGACGCCAACGAACCTCCCCCCTTGTGGACCCGCGAGGAGAAACAAACTTTGGTCGTGGACTCCGCCTTCGCAGGAAGAGACCGAGGAAGAAACTCCTGACGACGACGAGAAAGGAGAGGGATGAGGAGCAGGAGCGGCAGCAGGATAATCAGGGAAACGCTGCCCGCACGACAGGAGGCAGAAGGAACAGAGACGGAGGACGAGGAGCACATTAAGATGATGCAGGATTTGGTTGTGAGGATGCTGGCAGATGCTTCACGAGGGGCGGCGGCTTCAGCAGCTCACGCCTACAGTGAAGACGGGCCGACGCCCATCTGGCTTGTACGCGTGAGCTGCCGGAGCCACTGCCCCTGGTGAAAACCGGGTGTTGGAGTCCACGCCGTGGGCTGCTGGTACCGCCCTCCTTCCCCTGTAAAGATTGGGTGGTGGGGCCCATCTGTCTTGTAGGCATGCGCTGCTGGAACGAATTTCCCTCGTGAAAAAAAAGGGCTGGGGCCACACCCCGCTTCGGGCTTGAAGAATAGTGTGACTTACCATGGGCCGAAAAATTCCCCTCTCGAGGCCGAGATGTCGGAAGCGCCGTGTCGTGAACGGATGTGTGTTGCGCTCGCTTCGAATCGGGGCGCGCCACATGTTAACGGAGGGAGATACGGGAGTTGGCCTGGCCCGCTGCGGCGTCCGAGCACACGCATGTTATGGGAAGAGTTAGGGGAGGTGGCTGGGCCTGCTGTGGCGCTCGAGCTTCCGACCTTGACATTTTGCTTGTCTTCGTCATCCTTGTCCTGTCTCCTCCTCCTCCTCCGCCTCCTCCTCCTCCTCCTCCTCCTCCTCCTCCTCCTCCTCTTACTCCTCTTCCTATTCATCGTCCTCCCCCTCCCTCCTCCCGCCTTATCCCCTCTCCTGCCTCCTCCCTCCGCCTCCATCCTTCCTCCTCCTCCTCCTGCTCCTCCTGCTCCTGCTCTTCCTCATCTTTCTCCTGCTCATCTTCCTCATCCTCTTCCCTCCTCTCTCCCACATTCCCCTCCTCCCTCATTTGTCCTCCTATATCCCCCTCCCACTCCGTTCCTCTCTCTCCTCCTCTCTCCCCCCTTACCTCCTCCATCCTCCCCTCTCTTCATCCTAGGAAAGCCCTTCCCCGCAGAATCATGACAGTGGTCTTCAAAGCCGCAGCTGCGTGGATAGCAGGATGCCTCACGTGCAGTGCCCCGTGGAAACAATTTCCTTGGGTCTGGAAGATTAACTAGTATCACACATGTAATTCCAGCAAACTAAAGGAATCGAACTTCACAAGGAACAAAAAATTCCGGCGATTCCCCAAGATCCCCTGGAACTCCTAGGGATTCCCCGGGACTTCCGTGGATTCCTGGGATTCCCCGGGATTCCCCGGTCGTGGCGCGCGCGTCCTCAGACAGCGCAGCTGGCCATGCATGGGCCCAACAAACGCCCAAGAAGGCCCAAGAGTGCCCCGCTACGCCCAAAATGGCCTCAACACGGTCCAAGAGGCCCCGAAGGCGTCCCAAGAGGACTCCAAGAAGGCGTCCCCCAAGAAGCACAAATCACTGATTTGCCTCTGGTTCTTGAAGGGTTGTGACCTTCTCGCCTGTTCGTCTTTCCCACGCTCCAGAACGGCCCACAAGGCCCCAAATATCGCCCCGAGACGGCCCCGGTGGCCCCCAAGATGGCCCCAAGGCGGCCCACGAGGGCCCCAAGACGGCGCAACAGGCGCCCAGGACGGCCCAAGAGGGCCCAAAGACGGCCACAAGAGGAAACCCAGATGGTGAACCCGAACAGACATTTCGAGCCTTCGGCTCCGAGGGCCCCCCAGAAGGCCCTAAGAGGCCCCCAAGAGGCCCCCAAAAGGCCGCAAGATGCTCCCAAGAGGCCCCAAGAGGCCCGCAAGAGGCCCCAAAACTGCTCCCAAGAGGCCCCCGAGTGCGCCCAGAAGAAACATTCCGTAGAACTCTGACCCACAACCTAGGCACGGTGGCGGGATGGGCCCAAGGCCAGTAGATGAATTGACCCAGTGGTTTGTCACACAGGGAAAATTGGATTCGCGCAACACAAAAATAGGATCCACGAAACTGTTGCACACCCAGATAGGAATCCAATTGAATCCATTGGTGTTGTCGTGTTTTAACTCCAAGAGGGAAGTACTTTCGGCATGGGGATGTAGGTTGGGGGGGAGGCGGGGGGGGCCTGGGGGGGGGGGCAATAGCACTGTCGTCACGCCCCGCTCCCAAACGTGGCCAATTCGCACGCGCTGGTGCGCGTGCGGTTTGTCGGTCCGTCGGTCAGGTCGTCGGTCGGTCGTCGTCGCCGCTCGTCGTCGTATCGATCAGTCGTCGGTCGTCGGTCGTCGGTCGGTCCTCGGTCGTCGGTCGGTCGGTCGGTCTGATCGTCGGTCGGTCGCTTCGTCGTCGTTTCGGTTGGTCGGTCGGTCGGTCCAGTCGTCGGTCGTCGATCGGTCGGTAAAGTCGTCGATCGTCGATCGGTCGGTCCGTGGGTCGGTCGGTCGCTCGGTCGGTTGGTCGTCGTCGGTCGTAGGTCGTCGGTCGGTCGGTCGATCCGTCGGCCGTCGTCGGTCGTCGATCGTCGTCGCCGCCGTCGTCGTCGTCGGCCGTCGTCGTCGTCGTCGTCGTCGGCCGTCGTCGTCGTCGTCGTCGTCACGGTCTGTCGGTCAGTCGGACGGTCGTCGTCGTTTTTGTCGTCGGTCGTCGTCCCGGTCGGTCGATCCGTCGGCTTGTCGGTCGATCGGCGTCGTCGGTCGGTGCTTAAAACATGACACGTGTTCCACAACGCCTCCGACTCGTGCCTATGCGCTTTAGAAATTTACTACCAGCAATATTCATCTGATTGTAGGACGGCCTCCTCGTCCTCATCTTCTCCTCGTCCTCCTCCGTTACTCCGATCATTCTCCCCCTCCCCTCATCCCATCCTCATCCCGCTCGCAAACACACCTTGACATATTGCACGCCAATTGCACATGTGGCATGCCTCCGATGCAGAAAGGCAGCATCTGACCCCAGCGGGAGGGGGGCGAGGAAGTGGGAGGTGGCAGGAGGAGTGATCCCCGCATGCCCAGGTGTGACGGCGTTGGGGTTCGGCCCAGTAGGTCTTTAGCGTCAAGGGTCGAAACAAACGGGAGCGAACGTCACGTTGCGCGCTGAACACGCAACGCCTTCGTTGGACGTCCACCAACAAAGCCTCAGCATGTACTACAATACCTGTAATCAAGAACGAGAGATGCATGGCTTCAAGGTGCAGAGAGTTCAAGTACGTTTAGGCTGGAGCCCGTTGCAAACTGACTCTGTCGGAGTCGGGTTACCGCTGGGACATGCTCACGCGTATGCTGCGCATCATCAGCACCATCAGCATCATCATCATCATCATCATCATCATCATCATCATCAGCATCATCATCAGCATCATCATCATCATCATCATCATCATCATCAGCAGCAGCAGCAGCATCAGCATCTGCATAATCCTCATCATCAGCAGCAGCGAGATCATCATCGTCATCATCATCGTCAGCATCATCAGCAGCAGCATCATCGTCGTCGTATTCGTGATCATCCTCATCATCCGCATCGTGCTCATCATTCGCCTCCCTCCCCTCCCCACCCACCTTCTCCCAACCCACCCCTGCTCCGTCTAACGCTCATTGATCAGTCCTCCTCCTCCTCCTTCCTCCTCGTACTTCTCCCTCCTCAGTATCTCTCCTTCCTCCCTCCATCCATCCGCCTATCCGCCCTCACCCATCGTCCTGGTCCTCCATTATTGCTCCTTCACTCCTTCCCTCTTCCTCAGTCATCCACCTATTCAACCTCATCCTTCCTCCTTCCGCGCCTCGATCGTCATCCTCATGTTCCTCCTAAAACCGTTTATCCCACCTCATCCCTCATCCTCTGTGTTCCTCCTCCCCCTGCTTCCTCCTCCTCCTCCTCCTCCTCCTCCTCCTCCCCCTCCTCCTCCCCCTCCTCCTCCTCCTCCACCTCGTCCTGCTCCTCCTCGTCCTCCTCCCCCCCCCTTCCTCCTTCTCCTGGGCAGAAAACAAGGAGGAGGAGGAGGAGGAGGAGGAGGAGGAGGAGGGATGAGAGAGAGGGAAGAGGAGGAGGAGGAGGAGGAGGAGGTGGAGGAGGAGGAGGAGAAGAGGGAGGAAGAGAAGAGGAGAGGGCATGGAGAAGGGGAGGGAGAAGGACCTGAAACTGGAGGGCCAGGAAGGGGGTGGCAGGAGCAGCAGGGGCGACGGCCCCGTCGTCGTCCCTCGGCCCCTGCCAACCGTCGACCATGGACAGCACGCGCTCCACCTGGGCGCGCGCTCCGCGCCGCAGGGTGTGTGTGTGTGTGTGTGTGTGTGTGTGTGCGTGTGCGTGTGTGTGTGTGTGTGTGCGTGTGTGCGTGTGTGCGTGTGTGCGTGTGTGCGTGTGTGCGTGTGTGCGTGTGTGCGTGTGTGCGTGTGTGCGTGTGTGCGTGTGTGCGTGTGTGCGTGTGTGCGTGTGTGCGTGTGTGCGTGTGTGCGTGTGTGCGTGTGTGCGGTGTGCGTGTGTGCGTGTGCGCGTGTGCGCGTGTGTGCGTGTGTGCGTGTGTGTGCGTGTGTGCGTGTGTGCGTGTGTGCGTGTGTGCGTGTGTGCGTGTGTGCGCGCGTGCGTGCGTGCGTGTGTGCGGGTGTGCGTGTGTGCGTGTGTGCGTGTGTGCGTGTGTGCGTGTGTGCGTGTGTGC